CAGGCTGGAGGAGGCTCTGGGCAGCCTGATCGAGAGGGAGGTGTCCCTGCTCATGGCAGAGGGGTTGGAACTGGGTGACCCTTGTGGTCCCTTCCAGCCCTGACAGATTCTGATTCTGATTTTGATTCTGTTTTAGCAGAGGGCTTTAGAGCCCTAATGGCTCAATGGTTGGACCTGATGATTTTAAAGGTGTCTTCCAACCTAAAGGATTCTATGATTCTATTAAAGCTCACTCAGATCACGGATGTGTGTGACTGACAGAACTTCTCCCTGGTCAGACCTTTCCCAGCCAGCCTCTGACCTGAGATAATGGTTTCTTCTGTCCACAGTTTATGCCTCCAATGAAAACCATATTGGGCATCACAGGCGTAGGGTACTCAAAGACAAAGTCCAGTCTCTTCAGCCAAATGGATCTGTGGCTTAAAAGCTCTGTAATTGTTACTGGTTTTTGGAGGAACTCTGAGGCCAGGCTTTCAAAGGGAGAAAAGACCATGCTGCAGGTGAAGGACTCGGGAAGGGCAATCAGGAAGTTCCTCACCCTCTGAGGGAACGTCATGTGGTCCCTGTGGAGGGAGAACATCCGTGGGACGTAGGAGGGTGGGGGTGGATGTCCAGGGCACAGGGGAGGGAGGACAATGGGGATGGAGAAGTGCAGAGCAATGATCTGGCCGCAGGGTGTCAGGGGGTCGGTGAGGACGGTGTCGAATTCACCCCCTTCACTGTGCTGCATCACCTCCCTGTGGTACAGCAAGGGGCGGCAGAAGGGCACAGGGGAGGGAGTACAGTGGGTATGGAGAAGTGCAGAGCAATGATCTGGCCGCAGGGGGTGGGTGAGGACGGCGTCGAATTCACCCCCTTCACTGTGCTGCATCACCTCCCTGTGGTACAGCAAGGGGCGGCAGAAGGCCTGGAAGGTGGCAGAGCTCTTGTGGAAGTTCTCCCAGGTCTTCAAGAGCCTGGTGAGGAAAGGCTCTGGGCTGGAACAGTCCCTGCTGAAGGAGCGCATGAGCTCCCGCAGCTCCTCCTGCTGCAGGGGCACAGGGTACGTTCTCAGCTCCTACATGGGGGAGGAATCGATCAGGATCTTGCTCTCCGGAGCCACGACGAGGATGTGGTGCCCCCTGCGGCTCAGCTCGGCCAGCACCTCCTTCACGCTGAGCC